TCCAAACTCAGCAGGCCATGTAAGCAGGGCCCATGGATATTAACTCCAAGAGATCTGGCATTTTTGCCCCATGGCCCCGCCGTTCTAGGTCTACCTGCTCTCTCCCCTGAGCTGGCTTTCCTAAGCGGCCACTATATGCATCTGGCACTGCTGGCTTCTGGGATCTTTGTTTCCTTCTCAGCTTTGCTCTCACTGCCCCAAGCACCCCACTCTCAGGGGCTGCCTGCAGGAGCTCTGGCCCTGCTTGACTCCAAGGACTTCCCTTGAAACCTCAGCTGAGACCTTCATCAACCTTGTGACTTTTGTATTTTGTAAAATGGACACTGCCAAGGTTTGCTGACATCTCGAGGTGTATCAGGGATTCCTCCAACCACAATTATAGCAACTTCTGGGTTCCTGGGTGTCTGTGCGGAGGGGAACAACTTCCTATTGTTCTATGCAATCAGGGTGCCCTGGAGCTGCCCTCTTCTCAGTGGGAAATCTTGATGTAGGATTCCCCTCTGTGTCCTGTGCAGTGAAGATGTTCTATTACCATTGGTTAATAAAGAAGCTGCTTTGGCCTATGGCAGGGCAGAATATAGATAGGCAGGAAAACTAAACTGAATGCAGGGAGAAAGAAGGCAGAGTCAGGGAGACACTATGTAGCTGCCCAAGGAGAAAGACACCAGAACCTTCCAGTAAGCCACAGCCTCGTGGTGATACACAGATTAATAGAAATGGGTTGATTAAGATATAAGAGCCAAACAGTGTTGCGATTAAATATAGTTTCTGTATGATTATTCTGGTCTGGGCAGCTGGAGAACTAGAGTGCAGTCTCGGTTCACAAAATCTTTCAACTGTGTTTACTTTCTTTCCATACCCTTGAGCTTGCAGTGGGTAGTTTCCTCAGTTCTTGAGACGTGCCATGGTTCTGATGTAAAATTCTTGGCTGCATTTTTAATGGTCTTAAACAGCTTAGAAACTGGTTTGGGGGCTGGAAAGATGACTCAGTGGTTAAGAGCACATACTGTTCTTGGAAAGGACCCAAGTTTGGTTTCCAGAGACAAAGGCTTTTAATGTACTTTCCAATGAAGTCCCTCAGTCTCATTAGATTCAGAATGTAATCTGTTTATCACACAACAGTTCGGCTCTCCTGCGCCGCCCCCCCCCCCCCCCATTTTCCCTTTTCTCTTTTCTCATAGCGCTCTTGGCTTTTTCTCACACATTTCCCTCAACTTCTCTAGTTCCTCCTGCAAATCAGTTCCAAAGCCCCGAGAACCAACCATGCGGGCCGATGTCTTAATCACAGCCACAGCGCCCTTCCTCTGCCACCAGTTTCCTAGGGTGGGCAGACTTCTTGTCACAGGGACCCTCTCCTTTCAAAAACCTTGATGGGGAGATGGTTCATTTTGGCTCCCATCTGCAGCAGTTTCAGTGCATCGTGGCAAAGTGTAGAACACAACAGTTCTTAGTTTCTGTCTCTCTTTTTCCCCCCTTTCTCCCCATGCAGGCCCACAGACCGTAAAACATTGCCCATCTAAGCTCCTCACCCTCAGTTAGTCCTCTCAGGAGACACCTTCACAGAAACACTCAGAGGTCTAATTTCCTAGTAGTCCAAGTGCTTCTTAACCTAGTCAGGTTGATTAAGATTAACCATCACTGCATACTTCAGTGGTCTGTCTTGGTAATCAGGAAAATAGTCTATTGCTTGTGTCAGCATGAGGTTTATCATATCAAAGGGAAACAAGACTTGTTTAGCACCACTGTGTGAAGTATCTTGTTCACATAATACACACACACACACACCTGGATTTTTATCATACTATATAAATTTAATGACTTTTAAAAGTTAATAGTTTTGGGAGGTATCTCATATAAATTTACCAAAGTTTGCCAAAACAATTTCTCTGTTCTTGAACATTTCGTCTGTCTAAAATAACTTTACCACCATATACAGTTTGAAAATGAACATGATACTTCATTTAAAAAATATTTGGGATTCTTTAGGCTAGTGAGTTAAATAATATTTAAATGAAAGGATAATTTTAAATCTCTTGATTCTTCCAAAAGAATTGTGTGAAATTATGTTTTCATAAGAACATATGAAAGTGAGTCTTGTTGGAGTTGTCTATTACTTAAATAGGGAGATCTTTTTCTTTTCTTTATTAAATGTTTTCTTTTTTTCTTTTTTTTCTTTTGATTTTCCGAGACAGGGTTTCTAAATGTTTTCTTTTTTAAAAAAAAATTGATTGATTGATTGATTGATTGATTATGCAAGCAATGTTCTGTCTGCATGTATGCCTGCAGGCCAGAAGAGGGCACCAGATCTCATCACAGATGGTTGAGTCACCATGTAGTTGCTGGGAGTTGAATGCAGGACCTCTGGAAGAGCAGCCAGTGCTCTTAACCTCTGAGCCATCTCTCAAGCCCTGAGAGATATTTTTCTTAACAGTTTTTGACAGATTTTTAGACTACTCAAGACTCCAGCCTAAGACCTGGTTGTGTGTTCAAGTTTCTTCCCCACATCCAAAGAAAAGAACATAAACTATAAAATGGGAACACTGACTTGTTCATAGTCTTGACTATATCTGGGAATAGAGCCATTCTTTGCCACCTTTCCCCATAGCAGTATTAACATAATAGGAGGGGTAAAAAGGGGCCAGGGCTATGCATAGATGAAAACAGCTGTGAACCCACTTAGTGGGCTGGGGATAGCTAGACCCTCCTCCTGGTCCCAGGGGCCAGTGAGTGGGGCTGGGGATAGATAGGCCCTCCTCCTGGTCCCAGGGGCCAGTGAGTGGGGCTGGGGATAG